CTTCCAGGGAGAGAGGGAAGTGAAATAAAAAAAAAAAAAAAAAAAAAAAGAAGAAATCCCATTATCTTTATCTGGCCTTCCCATCAGGTGCAGCAGAAAATGCAAACGGGGAGACAGCTGCTGTGAACTCTTTATATTTCTCTCAGAAGATAGTGTATCTTCTTATTGCATACAGGAATTAGTTTTTTGAAAAAATATATCCTTTCAGCGTGACCTGAGCAGCAAGACAGAGAGGGAGTGGTGGCGTTCTGGGGGCTATTGATAGAACATTTGCTTTAAAGCATAGAAATCTGTGGAGGTCATGGGCAGCAGCATAGGAACAAGAAAGACCCTCAGGGAGACTGCATGTGAAGGGAATGGGTACTTCACTTCCCTGCTGTGTGACTGGGGCCCAGACACTGTCCTTCTCTGAGCTGCAGATTCTCTACCTGTTCAAGGGAATAACAGAATGCCACCAATGATTTCCTCTCAGGAGTGAAGGGTAGGGCAAAAAGGACCCTTAGCTGGGAGAGAAAAATGTCCTGCCTCTGCTACTATGCTCAGAAATGATAAGCTTCTCCTACTCTCCTTGGTGTTGCCATGCCTGGCACAGAGCTTACAACAGGTAGGCTCTTGTGATAGGTTCATTGAAGAATGATGCAGTGGGTACCTGTCAGATAGCTGTGAGCAGAAAGGGACATGAACCTGCGAGGAACAGCTCATACCCTCACAGTGGCTGCCACCTGGGCATTGTGCCTTGATAACTCCACACTGTCTCAACCTCTGCCCTGTGACTATCTTTCCTTTCACAGATTCCAACAACCTGTGATGATGGTGGTTACTTTTCTGTGTCAACTTGGCTGGCTGTGCCAGAGTGCCTAGATATTTGGTTAACATTCTTCTGGATAAGAGTGTCAGTATACGAGATTAACATTTCAGACAATGAACTTGGAGTAAAGCAGATTACCCTTCAAAGTGTGGGTGGGCCTTATTCAGCCAGTTGAAGGCCTGCATAGAACAAGATGGACCACCCCTGAGCAAGTGGGAATTCTGCTTGCAGATGGCCTTTGGTTCTTCCCTGGGTCTACCAGTTCACCCTGCAGAATTTGGACTTGCCAGCCTCCAAAATTACATGGTCAATTCCTTCTTCATTTCTTCCCACACACAGATATCACATCTGTGGACTCAAATGGATTTATGTCCGAAAAAAACAATCTATCATAAATTGAACACACTGCAAATCAAAAATACATTTAATACACCTGCCCAATGGACTGTAATGGATTAACCTACTCTCCTTAAACATGTTCATACACTTACATTAGCCTATGGTTAAACAAAATCATCTGATATGAAACCTATTTCATACTAAAGTGTTGAGTACCTCATGTAATTATTGAACACCACACTGACAGTGGAAAACAGAATGCCCTTTGGGTGTGCTTTCACACCAGTGTAGTCTGATATTGGTTCTGTTTGTAGGCAGGACCCTGACTGACAGTTCCTTATCTTGGTTCCTTAATGCCTGGAAATGTCTGGGGCAGGGCTAGAGGCGGGGTGGTGGTGGTGGTGAGACAAACCTGCTGGGAAAGAGTAATTGCTGGCCAAGGCTACCTTGACCATGAAAGGAGGGACCAAAACCACACCAAGCGGGAAGGGGACTGGGGCTGAGTTTCCTTGGGACCATGACAGGTGTGACTTGGATCGTCTGTATCCTGAGCTGGCCTGGGACAGGTTGCTCTGCCTTGCCAGGGGCTGGGCATCAGGAAAGAAGAGGCAGCCTCTGCCCAATGCTCTTATTGTGGGCAGAGGAGATTAAGAAGGTTTCTTGGCTGTCTTGCCCTCTGCCCAACACAGGCTGAGTGGGGTCTGACTGTGTCTGTCTGCCAGGTGGCCCTGGGCATCGATTAATTTGTGGTAATAATCCTCTATTTATTTATAAGTTGATTTAGATTTTCAAAGTACTGTCATGGAAGGAAAAACTTGCCTTCCCTCCCTTTGCCATGGGGCCAGGAATGAGAGGGTACCGGAAGGGCATTTGGGTCTCTGAGGAGGACTCCCTTTCTGTTGCCTGCAACTAGTTTAGGCAGGAAGAAGTCCAGAGGTTGGGAGCAGCTCCAGTCTCTGGCTTCAGCAGGGAAAAAGGCAACTTCTGAGAAGACCACCCAGCATGGTTGAGAGCACCCAACACCACAGAGACAGCTCGACACACAGTCCCAGTGGGGCAGGGCCCTGAGGCTCCCCTTTGGCCTCTCTCTTTTGTCAGCCCCTGCTGTGGGGCTCATTTCTCCAGGGAGGCCCTGACAGACCTGCAGTGGTAGAGGGAGCTGCTCTGTGCCCCTGGGCACTGGGGCATGAACTATGGGGGCAGAGAGGGAGTGTCACTGTGTCACTGAGTCACTGGATATCTGTTCCTCAGGTGGTCTTTCCCTGCCTGAGCAGTTTCCAGCTTGAGAGAGTGGCCACCATCTGGCAGGCCCTGGTAGCTTAGCAGACCCTCCACCTCATCCCCAGTGAATGGGTAGCACTGGATACTGCAGCCTCAGCTTCAGGTGGCTTAGGGCCATGGTATGGCTGCAGCATATGCTGTATCTCCTCATTAAAGACTTGCTTTGCTGGGTTTCCACTCCCCAGATCTCTGAAGGGGGAATTTTCTAAAGCTAATGAATGGCTTCTTCCTTCCCATGCTCAGGATGGGAAGTTCTAGAAGGAAGCAGTCAAGAGCCAAAATGCAGTCTTTCTCCAGAAGAGACACAGATGCAGAAGGGATGCCTCTGTGTGTGTAGTGGTTCACTCCTGTAATCCCAGCTATTCGGCAGGCAGAGATAGGATGATCTCAATCTAAGGCCAGCCCTGAGGCAAAAGTTAATAAGACCCTATCTGAAAAACAAACTAAAAGCAAAGGGCTGGGGTTGTGCCTCAGTGGTAAAGAGCTTGCCTAGCAAGCAAGAGGCTGTAAGTTCAAACCCCAGTACTTCCAAAAAGAAAGGTTGACCATCCCTCTTAGCTCAGGGTTGAGGTGATGTCACAGAGTGCTGACTCCTGCCCTTCCTGAGCTCCATCACCTGTTGATGCCCTCTCAGCTCTCAGCAGTTGTTCACCACCCATCTGCCCTTCCTTGTACACAGAGGAGCTGCTCCTAGCAACAACTGAGCAGGTGGAAGTTCACGGAGCTGCAGGTGGCTCACCCCCACAGGAAGTCACGCCATTCCCAAGCCCAGAGCACACCCTCCAGCTGCCCACACTCTCAGTGCTCCTCCCCCCGTCCAGCACAACCCCTGCAAAATGCTTTGTCCCACACAGTGACATACGTGTTCTCTCAGCCCTTTCTACTGGAGACACCACCCACTTTGAACTGAATAACTGAAGAAGGCCCCACCTGAGGCCAACAAAACAAACAAAAGGAATTGTGGGTGCTATCTGGGTATCCAACTCCACTCTCCCTGGAAAGCCCACCAGGGAGCTCTCCATTAGTTGTTTGGGGAAGAACACAGGGACCTTCCTTCTCTGCTCCATAGTAGTCCCTTCACCCCATTAATCTGTGGGGTCCTCATGGCAGCAGAAGCAAATTAAGTGTATGCAGACGAACGAACATACCCATCCCAACTCCAAGACCAGTACCCTGGGATGCATGAGTACACACATTCCTCCTCCCTCCATTCCCCTCTCTTGTTTGTTTCCTCCATGTTCCAGAAACCTCCAGAGAGACCTCCAAAGTAGAGGGAGACCTATGCTTAGCCTCCCTCTCTCCCTTGGCCTCTGACTTCCAGCACAGAGCAGCATACATCCAGCCATTGGCTGAGCAAGAGGAGATGAAGTTAAGTGAGGAGAAGAGCGTTTTAGGGAATTAGCAGAATGTGCAGATCCAAATGATCTTAAAGCATCCAAGTCTAGGGGGAGTGGAACAGTGGGAGGGGACGAAATTCTCTGGATGTGAGCAAATTGCATAGATGTCCATCTGTCTGGCATGGCTTAGCTTATGCCAGCTTAGAGACCTGATGGATAGCCCAGGGGTCTCTAGGGGCCCTCCTACCTCCAGATTGCCCTTCATGTGCCCAGTGGCCTGCACAAGCACATGTAGAGTCCTCAGCAGCCCTGCCCTCAGAACAGTGATAGCAGCCAGTGCTGAGCGAGGTTGTGCCATGGGCCACACTCTTCATGAAAGGCTGTTAATGCATCATCCCACTGAACTCATACTAGGAGGCAGCTGCTGTTATTAGCTCCATTTTCTAAGGCAAGGAAACTAAGGTTCAGAAAGGTTAAGTAACGTGGCCAAGGCCAAGTGACACCAGGACTCACATCCAGTAGTATCTGACCCTGACCCAAGATGCTGGTAGTGCATTTCTTCTATCCTGGCTTCTTCAGAGCCACCCAAGAGGATTTCCCCTGGACGGCACTGTGACACATGCAGGCAAAGCATAACTGGATCTAAGTACAGCTGGCCTTAGGTGGCATGCCCTTGTTTATTATAGGCTATGCAATCTATTCATGGAACACTCAAGTCCAATGTCATCCTGCTCCCCAGCAGGCTGTCATATCTCATTTTTCTCTGTTCTTTCTCTCCATCCTCTGTGGCTGACCCAGATCCCTGGAGCTGTAGGTATTCAGTAAAAATTACAGGCACAGAACAGAGGGAGGGGAAGAGCCTGGGGCCAACAAAGGCAGCGGCAAGACCTGGGCCATGGGAACTGAGAAGGGCAGATTTTGCCTTTAAATCCCCTCAGTATGATGTGACACCTGTACTCCCAGCCCTCAGTCACTCAAAGAACCCCAGAGGTATAACTTGCCAGGCCAGATTGCCAAAGGACCTGCGGATCTTCCTCTGCTCATTGCTCTGGTGAATTCTAAGTCAGCCAAGAAGGAAAATCCCATGGGCTCCTGCAGGACCAGGGCCACCTGCTTCCCTCTGCACACTAATGCTCCCCTTCTGCCTGCACCCCCGCACTCCAGGTGCTGACCCAAGAAGGCAGGAGGTACCCAGGACCAGCCACAGTGACAGCCCTGGGTGGCAGCCCACTCACCCAGGTCCATGTCTGCAGCCTTGGGCCGGTGGGAGCAGGGCACATTCTTAAAGATGGCATCCAGGATCTTCTCCTTGACCTGAGTGATGGTGTCACAGTTGAGGATCTTCACTGGGACCTCAGGGCTGTTGACATTGTCTGGGCTGACACAGCTCAAGACCTGGGGGTGATGGGGAAAGGTCAAGTGGGTGAGGGCAGCAGGAGAGTTCTAAGACCCAGCACTATTGGGGTACTTTCTGAAAAGCTCCTCCTCTCCATGTGGGGCTGGGGAAGGGGCAGAGAGACTCAGTCCATCTGTGTCCCCACAGGGCCCCTTGCCCTCTCCTGTAGAGTTCGAGCTGCACATTGGACTCACTGTCAGGAAAAACATTATTAAAATCCCCATTTTCCAAAAGAAACAGTGTCTGAGCATGTGCAGGTGGTGGGGGTGAGGCGCAGTGGTATCTGCAACAGAACGGGTGCTGATGCATGCACACATGTGCAGTCTCTCACCTGCATACCTGTGTGCAGGAGGTACCATCCCAGCAGCATGCTCACAACCTCAGCACTAGAGACCCCACCCTATCCCTGTGTCACACTCTGTCTTTCTCTCACTCTTCCCAGACACACACACACACACACACACACACACACACACATCAGTAGTAAGGGAATCAGACTCTGTCTCAAATGGTTTAATAGGTTTGATTTGGGGGGAGGGTTTGGGGCTGATTGGGGACTATAGAATCTACAAGAAATTTAACATATTTTTTAAAAAGGTGCCCTTTACATGGTTTGGCAGTGCAAGAACTCTGTAACATTAACAAATTCAATAAAAAGTAAGTATATGGATTTAAACTAAAAAGGTGCCCTTTAAAAACTTTCAGGTTCAGGCTCCCTGAGAGGCCTTTCTGGATTTGAACCTGAAACCCCCATCAGGGGACCAGGCCACTGCAGGCTCAAGGCCTGTATTGAATGAGTTAGAAGAGTTAAAACTCATCTTCAGCAAACTATTTTTTTTTTAAGAAGTTCTGGGCTTTTCCAAGTTCAAGGCTTTTCTTCCCTTGCTGTTCTCACAGTGGGCTCTTTTTGCATTGGATGGTGCTTGGTGGCCTCCCAGGAGGAACCTGCAGAACAGGGTGGGTGCTATGGGGTACAGGAATGGACAAAGGTATAAAAGCCAGGCAGAGAGGCCTGGACTTCCCAGGGGGAGAGATGCCAGGTGCCCTGCCATTCTGGGTTCAAGACTCTTCTGTCCCTGGAGCCTGAGACCTCTGCATACCTTTCTCCTTCTCGGAACTTAAGCTCCCCCTGTCTCCTCCCCAGATTCATGTCCCAGTGGCCCCATCTGGTTTGTAGAGCCAGACACCAGCCCTGCCCCCAGCCTGTTCCATGTGGTGGCAATCAGAGTCCTGGCCCTGGACGCCTGCCTTTCATTAGCAGCTAGACTGCTATGAAATCAAATGGGGAACATGCTTATTCCATTAAGATGAGGAAAAAATTCCCCTAAATCTATAAAACCAAACTCACCCTCAAAATGCCCTAAACTGCAAAGGATGGAGGCAGAACCCTTGAGCCATGTGTCTACATGTGCCTTCTCCCAGAAGTTCTCCTCCTTCTCTGAGCCTTCTGCATCTCTGAACCTCCCTGCTGCTCAGTGACCAAGCATGACCTAACCCTTCCTCCTGTTCTGGCTGTCCCTACTGTCCCATCCTCTGGGCCAGGGGCAGATGACTCACCTTTCCCCAGTAATGCGGCTTGCTCTGGACCATGAGGCAGGAGCTGTCCCAAGGGTCATCCCCTGGCATTTCTACTGCCCCAGAGGTTCAGGTGGCCGCACAGGACTAGCATGCCTCAGGGCAGAGACCGGCCTTTCAGAAAGGAAGCAGTGGCTCCAGAACAGGGTACAGTTTGCCTAGAAGTTTCCCTTCCTCAGTGCTGTTTGGCTGCTTTCTGAACAAAAACTGCCTGATGCTCTCTCAGTGCTGGGAATATGCCCCTTAAGCTTTTGTGCACTTGGGCATGGCACAGATTCTGATCCAGAGGGCCTTAGGGTCTGCATTCTAGCAGACTCCCAGGTGGGCATGAAGGCCATCTAGCAGGCTCCTAGATGGTATCTAATCACCTGTGAATTCTGAGGAACAACTAATGCTCTAGCAAGTGCCCAGGTGGGTATCTAGCTCTCTAACAGGCTCACATGCAGGCATCTAGCACTTTCACAGGCTGCCAGGTAGGTATCTAGCACCTTCACAGACTCACATGTGGGAATCCAGCCATTTAGCGGGCTCCCGGGTAGGCATCTAGCACTCTTGCAAGTTCCCAGGTGATATTTAGCTATTTAGCAGGCTGCCAGGTGTTGCGATGATGGTCTTGGAGCACTCCCAGCATCAAGGTCCTAGGCTACACTAGCCCAAGTTCTAGCATCAACCTAACTAATCACTCAATGATTAGGACATGCATGTGACTCCAAGGAGGAACACTCAGTCTCTCCTGGAGCCTCTCAGGGCCCCTTTGTGGTTATCCCTCTTGCCTGGACAAGGTCACTATCAGCCAGTCCAAAGACCCCAGGACTGCTCCAGCCACTGCAGAATCCTTCACTTCCCATCTTTGTGTCTGAGCAAGTCACCTGGAGTCTCTGCTGCCTTGCTTGCCATGGTGCAGCACCCCTTCCATGCCTCCACACTGAAGGGGTACCCTCTCCATGAGAAAGTACTCTTGCCTAGGCCTGAGGGGAGCCAATAAATCTCCCTGCAGCTCCGTCTCATCTGTTCTCCAGGCAGAATAGTCACAATTTCCTTCCCCTTTCTTCCCTACCCATCTCCATCTAGTGGATGCTCCCCTGACCCACTTCAGTTTCCTCACCTGAAAACAGTCGGGTGCACCAACAATCTTTTGGCCTCTGGAATAAAGGCTGTTGCAATTGCAACATGGGGACACAGCATTATCACAACTTATTGTGTTGCATTCAATATAAGTGCTGATGAGGAGGAAAGAAAGGAAGAGGAGGGGAGTGGGGAAGGAGATGTTTAAAGGTAGTTTTCGCTCAGGAAATTTGAGCAGGGCTCAGTGATACATGTCTATAATCCTAGCTTCTTAGGGGGCAGAGATCAGGAGGATCATGGTCCAGGTTGGTCTGGGCATAAATGTGAGCCCCTATTCAAAAAATTACTAAAGCAAAAAGGGCGAGGGTATAGCTCAAGTGGCAGAGTGCCTGCCTAGCGAACTCAAGGTCCTGAGTTCAGAATCCCTAGTACCACCAAAAAAGAAAAGAAAAAAAAAAAAAAAGAAATCTGTCAGGTCTCTATTTCTGGAAAGGTTTCTTTCTCCCTCTTTTCTATTTTAATCAGAGCCTCTAACTCTCTTCTGGCAGGCTGGGTCTGAAAGGAAGCAAGAGTCTCACCCAGCAATCTGTCCAGGTGTCTGTTAGTAATAACTGGGCTCTCAGAAGACAGGAGTGGGATAGGTGGATCACAATTGCAGCCATCCAGCCAGCAGGGATGGCTTTGTTCTAATCTCCCCACCTGGCCCTGGGGTCTGGGATTCACCCCTAGCTCAAAGCAGTAGGTGGTGTGTGAGCATCTGTCCTTCCTGTCTCTGCTCACCTGTCCTGCTGTTGTCCCGTCTCCTGATTATTATATTTTAATTCCACCTGTTTCCTGTCCTCTCACTCCCTGGTTCTCTCTCTTGCTTCCCTTCTTGGATATCCTAGCTTTTATCTTAGTTTCTCACATCTTCCTTCTACTTCCTCTCTCTTTCTTAGAAAAAAGTCCTGATGGGTGATCACAACTGTGTCCAAAAAAAGCCTGAAGGTGGACTCACTGGGCCTGGAGAGAGGGGTCAGCCAGCGGACGGTAGACAGCCATGCTGGGAAGAGGCAGCCAGGGTGATGTGAGCCAGCACAGGGCAACACTGCCCTGGGTTCCTGCCTGTGCTTCTGGTCCCCTTCGATCCTCTGGACATCTCTACTCTGGACAGTTATTATCACCTCTAGTTCAGAAGGTTCTGTGATTATCCCCTTTTTATAGCTAAAGAAACTGAAACTCAGAGAAATTAGGGATATGCCCAACTCACTCAGCTCGTCAGGGGCAGAGGCAAGGCTCAGCAATGGGGGTCTATTTGATTTCAAACCTGTGTTCTCAAACACTGAGCTTCACTGCCTGCTGGGGCAATCATTGCTATTAGGTGAGCCTGACCTTGACAGAGGACATCCCCATGTTCCTTGGACAGCACCTTACATGGCTAGGCCATCCTGGCCTCCATCACACAGTTCGATCAGTCATATTTGAATGTCCACTGGTGGGAGACTGTGGGCTTCAGAAACCATAAGGAACTCTTTTGGTTTCTTCTCTTTTTGCCCATCCCCTGCCTGCATGCTCTGCCTGTATACACCTGTTCTATAAAGCATAGATTGTCCATCCAGAAGAGCTCACCGGAGACACTCAGCCCTGCTGGCCAAGGGGCTGGGCCCTCAATTCAGAGCCTATCTGGGACAACACCAGTGCACCAGTTAAAGTGCTAATAGGATATGGCTGAGCCACTGTGTGCCCTGGTAACATGCTCCATATTGAGTCAGGTGAGCGGCACCTGGCTGGGCCCTACAGGGCACAAAGCAGGAGAATTGGGCATAGCTGCCAAGGCCAAAACCCCACTTTCCAGAACTCCAGACAAGCAGTGAAGGGGGCTCACCAGGGTTTTGTACTCGATCTGCTGCCGGATGAGCTTGTCCTCGCTCAGGGAGTAGCGGGCCTCTCCTGTGATGGCATCAATGGGGCCCTTCTCCATCTGCTGTTTGATGGCACAGAACAGGGAGAAGAGGGGCTCCCCAGCACACTCCTGGAGGCGAGAAGAAACAAGCTGGCAGAGTTCTGGGACTGCACATGTACACAGCCCACCCCATTGTCCCTGCTTTCCATGCCTCCTGTGGGGTCCTTTCTCTTGGTCCCTCCTGCTTCATTGCTCAGTTTTTCTATTCCCTCTTCTTCAACTCTATACTTCAGACTTGCACACCTCTTGGCTCTTTGGACACTGTTCTGCCCTTTTCTGCCACCTGTCCAGAGCCTGATCTTCCTTCTTCTCTGTCTCCCACCTTCCCTACTCCTGTCTCCCACCCCACCCTGCTCTCTGAGCCCCATCAGGAGGCAGAGGTTGGTCCTCTGTGGCATGAACTCTGTATAAACAAATTAATAACCAGAAGTCTAGCAGCTCTTTCACCCTCTAGGCACATCCTTGGCTTATCTGCCACTTCTGTACTTGACCTGTAAGTCTGGGTCTGGGAAAACGAAGAGGAATGCAGGGAACCACTGAGTGCATTGTTTTTAGTTTAAAATGAAGATTGAGCTTTGGGGGCACATAGGGCCCTCTCAGAGGTTCATCTGCCCCTCACTTGGGGGGAAACAGTCTCTGAAGGTCAGACTGAACATGAGGCTCTGTGTTCTAAGATAGTTCGTGACAAGAGTCAGCTCCACTTCTTGTGCATCAAGAAGCGTCAAGCCCCAGTGAGGGTGGACTTGGGGGTATAGAGAGACATGGGGTGGGCCAGGGGAACTAAAGGCTCATGCCAGAGTAGGATAACCACAGCAGGACCAGGACTATGCCCATTTCCCATCCTACCTTGAGGAACTTGTAGAGGAGGAAAGTGAACCAATTGGTCAGCATCTTCTCAGCCACAGACTCTGTCCTATCCCCAAGTCACCAAGGAACAAGCGGAAGAAGACAAAGGAAGAGGCATGTGGTCAGAGCCCGTGGGCTGGGCAGGACAGTGGAAGGATTTGCCTCCATCTTGCTACTTGTGGCTCTTGGGCCAAATCTTGAGACCTTACTGTGTAGGAGAGCTTCATGGACCCCCGCATGCACATTGCCCACCCCAAGGCAGTAAGAAGAGCGTTTCCTGCCGAGCTGGAGGATGATGTGCTGGGCATCTGTCATACTCATAGGTGTGACTGCCTGTCTTTGCTAGGCCTGTCTTGGAGCACTGCCTCTCTATGGAACTTTGCTATAGGGACAGTGCTTTCCACCTACATGGTCCAGTGTGGCAGCCAGCTGCCACAGACAGCTACTGAGCCCTTGAAATGTAGCCTGCATGTCTCAAGAACTGAAGTTTTTCATTTTACTTACTCTAATGAATTTAGATTTAAATCATCACCGGTGGCTGGTGGCTCTCCTATGGGATAATACAGCCTTAGAGAATATCATAAAAGGCTGATGTGTTCCTTTCAGTGAAAAAAGCAAAACCAAAGGCCAGGGACAATAAAGGAAGGAAGGCTTCTGGATCTTCAAATGGTCTTGGTAAAAAGGCCAGATAATCCACACAGAGCCCTTAACCTAGCCTACAGATTCCTGCCAGTACTGACCACCATTTGATACTATATACCTAGCTTGTCCCAAGAAATGTCAAAATTGTCCTATGTCAAAGGCTTCCACATACTTTTGAAATGTCCCCTGAGAATCCTTCTAGGGAAACCTGCAATGGCAGGAAGTTCCTTCTTGAGTCTAAGCTGCATCTTTCATGCCACAACCCAAGCCCACTTATTCTTTCACTTTGGAAGTAAATACACAGCAATAGTGTTGCTGGCTTTGTTGCTTACACTTAGAGGAAAGGAATTACATTCAAACTTGTCGGTAAGTGCATTGCCAGCTCCAGCATCCAGGTATGTTTGGATAGAGTTGAAGATTGCAGCTGCTAGAAAATACTAATAACTAAAATCCCCAGGCATTTGGGAAGCTGCCTGCACAAAGTAAAACCAAAAAGACAAAGAAGGAAGAATATTCAAAGGAGGGGGAAGCCAGGGGCAAGAAGAAGAGAAGGAGGTGGAGGAGGGCGGAAGGAGCAAAAGCATCCGGGGGATAGGGAGTGGAAAATGAGAGAGAGAGAGAGAGAGAGAGAGAGAGAGAGAGATTCAGAGTGCGACCATGAGACCACATGGGGAAATTGTTGGTGGGAGCTCTGGTAACCCTAGAATTATGTCAGTGGGTGGCTGTGTGGGGAAAGTAAAACAAAAATCAAAATGATCCACCTTGCTGTTTCCAAAACTGTATGATTGCTCTACAGAGCAGCCCTTTGTGGCTGTGCAGGTGAATGCCTGCTACGCCAGGAAAAAACCTGAAGCAAACACTTCTGAAAACCAGGTCTATGCACCAGCTCTGCCTCACACGCAGAGACTAAGGGTGGAAGTGGAGGGGAGTAGGATGGAGTGGTCCAGGAAGAGACTAAATGTGGGGTTTTCTAACTTCGGAAGTGCTAGAGGCAATGGAGTAACGTATCCTGGAGGGAAAATGGCCTCCTTTCACACGGAGAGAGGAGGGAGTAAGGGTGGAGCGGGAGCACCTTTCCCTAGAAGACCAAAGCTGCAGAGCTGGCTATGCTCAAAGTGATCTTGTAGGTTTCAGCAGTGGATCCTGGACCAACTCAGAGCAGATAACAGGAGCCAGGAAATGCTTGCTGGGCTTTCACCTGGTGAAGGCAATCAATGAAAGACACCCATGTGATGTGCAGAACCTTTTAGAAGGACTTAAAACACCAGCCTCCTGCAGGACAGTGCCTTGCCCTGAGGGAGCATGGCTGCTCTCCCTGCAGTCTGCCTTGGCCTCCCTGGCTGGGGAAGGAAGTGCTCTGTGACCCCCCAGGGCCATCCCAGGGCTTCCTCACCTCCTGAGCAGTAGCTTGGGGTGGTTCTTGCTCTCCAGGTTCTTGTCGATGAGGTCTGCCAGCAACTGCTTGAGCACATCGGTGGCGTACTCCAGCTTGCTCTGCAGTACCGTCATGATAAGCGAGGCCACATTGCCGCGGTCACGCATGGAGAAGCTGCGCTGGGACTCGAGGGTGCGGACGAAGGACAGCAGGAACACCTTGTTGTTAATGAGCTGGGCAAAGAGCTTCAGGCCTTTCTCCACACGCTCCTGACGGTAGCCTGGGACCTATGGAGAGAGCAGGGGTCCTGACATCAGCTGCTGAGCACCCCAGTGACCTCCCACTGTATGGACTGTACCTGTGCCATCAACAGCCCCAGCCCGCCTCTCACTCATTTCTCCAGCACAGCCTACCTGGCTAGAGCTCCTTCTCAGGAGCTGGGCACTGTGTCCAACATCTACTCGAGCTCCATCACTTCCCAGGAGATGGGACTATACCTCATTTAGAGAGGAACCAACAGAAGCACAGAGAGAACTAGCCACAGTTCATAAGTGGTGACACCAAGGTTGAACCATCTCTCCCAGACTGCAGAGCCTGAGCTCTTCTCTAATGGCGATGCAGAGCTGATGAGGAGCTACGTGCAGAGTCCCTCCAAGCCCCTATGGGAGCTCCAAGAAGTCAGGGTGGCTGTGGCTTGTACCTTGGCTGAGGGATTACCAGGCCTGGGCTTTCAGCTAACCTAATACCTACTCCTTGCTGGCCCTGGAGGTCCTGTAGACAGGACTTCTGGTTTCCACATGGGCTCTGTACCACTATGCTTTATAATCTTGGCCCCTTTACTTCTTTGGAGCCTATTTACCAACCCAAGAAAAAGGGGAGATTGAGCGTCACAGCCTAAGAAGAACTCCCTGACTCTAGCATCTGACATTCTCTTTTGGAGATGCTATATCACCTAGGGAAGGGGGAGGAAGGTGATTCTACCATTCTGCCTACAGGCTCTGTTGTTTGAGAGAACATTGAGCTGGGCATCGAGGATTCACTTCTGAACTGAATGGGAATATGCACAGCATCCCTGTTCATAGGGACCCAAAACCTGGGCTCCCAAACATTCAGCAGAATGGAGAGGATGGAGGAGTTGCATCGGATGGGATGCCACACAGCCATGAGAAGGAACCACCTGCTGCTACGCACAGTAGCAGCGGGGAACCTTGCAAACACATTCAATGCAGAAGTCAGACACAAAAGAGGGCACGGGCTTCACATAGCACCATTTAAATAAAGATTTTTGGACAGGTAAAATGACTTAATATAGGTAGGCAAATGGCTATTCTGGAGGTGGCTGCTACTGAAAGGGGCACAGGGGACTCTTGGAAGTCTGGCATTGTTCTGGTTCTTGAGCTTGAGCTGGGTGGGCAGATGGGCTTACCTGGGGACAAGCCACTGAGCTAATGATCTGTTTTTTTATATGCACATTGTTCTTTACTTATACTTCTGAGAAAACTAAAGTTCCCTCAAAAACTCAACCACAGGTTCTGACCTCTTGGTGAGCCCTCTGTGAACAGTGAGCAGGGTTTGTCTCCTGGAAGTGCAGAGCTAGAGGGGGTAGGGACAGGAGGAACAACCAACAGAGGTTGCCACATCTTAAAGACTGTGTCTCCCCCACAGGGTTGGTATGTCAGGTCTTTGAGTTTTGTCATGTATGCAGCAGTAAAGAACTTGGTTTCAGTTGGTCACTGTCACATACTAGTAGACTTCATTCTGTAATCAATAAAATGAAGATATTCACAGCTAATAAGCATGCAGCTGTTACTCTGTACCAAGTATGATAGTCCATTTAATCCATGTAGCACCTTAGGAGGCAGGTCCCTTTATGACCCAGGACCCCCTGAGAGTACAGAGCTTTTCCAAGACTCCAAAACAGAAGCATCCAAAGCCAAGCCATGAACCAGGCAGTTGCACCATGTCTACACTTTCATGGGGCTGTCACTCAGACTAAGAGACAATGCACACAAAGCCTGTGGCTTGTAGCCTGACACATAGCTGAGTCAGCAAATAGCAGCTACTTTATCCTGCTCTATACTTGAGGCTTAAACTGGAAAAGACAGTGGCAGTCAAAGGCAGCCTGTCTGCCTGAGGTCATAGAGGTAGCAGAAACATTCACACCATTTATGACCCAAGTTCCTGTGTTCCAGGCTCAGGCCAAGGTGTGGGCAGGAGGAAGGTTTTGGGCAGCCGCAGGCCTGTTCTTAGAGTCTGTTTCTGAGTCATAGGCCCCTCTCCAGTGGGCATTCAGCTGCCCTGTGCTCACATGCAGCATTCTTGGTTGCCTGGCATCAGCAACTCCCCTGGGTCTGGAAGTCCGTAGGAAGCTTGTTTGCTTCCTAATCAGGTCCGCTGTTCTCTTGTTGCAGTGCTGGTACTTGGAAGGCCAGTTCTCAGCAAAGAGCAGGACTCACCAGAGCTAAAAGGGTAGAGCTGGTCATGCCACAGCTCAGTCCTCAGCACTGCCACCTCTACTCCACCTTGCTCCCCAAAGTGGGCCCAACCTCTGTGTACCTTGTGCCTGGCTCCCTCCGTTCCCCACACCCCCTGGGGTGGGGGCTGATGAGGAATTGGGAACGATCACGTGGTAGCCTCATCTTGCCATAGCCCAGCTCTCCACCCACCCCGCCCCCGTCCTGTGACGGCCCTCTCACACACATGTCCATGTTTGACTTCCTCTGCCCGTCAACCCCGCAGAACAAGTCACTATGACTTCTCTAAAATAATAGTTAATGTCACTTACTGGGTACATGTATGTATGCACAGTGCTGGACACATTACCTACATTATTTAAATTAAGTCCTTTAATAAGCTTGCAAGGTGAGCTGTGATCTTTTAATGGTCTCTCAGAGAAGCTACCAAATTTGTCCCCAGACCACCCAGTTGGTAAAGGATAATGCTGGATTTCCAACCCCAAGCTTGTCTGGTTCCTGAGCACCTGGCTCTGCTCCTCTCCTGCCAACTGTGTCTAGGCTCAACCCTGGACTCTCGAGCTGTCTGAAAGCCAACTCTGGCTTCTCCCTGCTGTCTTCCTGTGCGAGTGCTCCTGGCTGTTCAGGCTGGCCATTGAAGGGAGACAGCCACATGCAGGTTTGGCATGGTGGCACCTGGGGAGGTGGGTAAGGACACAGAGCTTGTTAGATGGCACCCTTGCTGTGAGAACACACTCTCTACTTCCTTCTTGCCTTCACTGCACTTTCTCCATGCAAAATGCATATGCCTTGCACAGTTACAGCATCTAGATCAGCAGCCTGGGCTTGAGATCAGGGACTACAGAGACCCACGCATGGAGAACTCCATTACCTCTGGGGTCTACTGTCTCATCTGTAAAATGAGAATATAAGTGTCTATGTCATAATGTTTTATGAACATTAAGAGAATGGATATAAAGTGCTTGGCACACACCACACACACTTAAAACAGCAGCAGTTTTATTACCTGCCTTCCCAACTCCATCCAATGCTTTCACGGAGTCCTTTTTCCCAGGAGTTTCCATGCTATCTGGGGCTCAGCACCCTTTGTCTTGGGGTGCTGAATGTATAAGCTTTCTCCCCCATTTTGTGAAGGGAGGAGATGGAGGTAAAGTGTCTTGATAAGGACTACCTGGAATATTTTCCTTTGCAGCCTGCCACCCTTCCCCCAAGCCAATGCCACTCTGAAACAAGACCTTCTTTATTTGCCAGATGGTTCTCCACTTCAGTTCTGAAGTCTGTGAGTATAAAACTAAACAGTAAATTTTAATTGTAACCCAATAGGTTAGAGTCTGGGGGCCAGTGATGGGTTGGAGTTGGGAGCGTGTGATTGACAGGTTCATATTTTTAAAGGATTGGTGGATGACGGGGCCTGGAAAGCTCCTTCCCCAAATGCCTGGACTTGCCCAGTGGGCTACTAAAGAGGAAGCCTGGTGATTTCCTCTCCAGGACAGCCTGAAGCAAGAAGACAACTCTCTCTTCATACTGCCAACCAGTGGGCAGGTGTCCCTACAGGGATGATAGGGTTGTGAAAACTTGCTTTCGTTAATGGCTTCCCTCAGAAAGTTTCCATACTCCAAACAGCAACAGGGAGAAACTATTTTGATGGCAAGAATGGGTTGGAAACAAAACAAAATTGTGATCCATACAAGATCCTGGACCTCACGCAGCCCCAGACTAATGTGGGACAGTAAAAGTTGATTTCTGTCCATATGAAGTTAAAATGAGTTTGATGGAAATGAAGACATAGAAGAATAGGAAGCAGGAACTCAAACATATTATACCTGAACACCAATGTTCACGACAGTAGAACTCACAATGGGCCCCAGATGGAAGCACCTCAAGTGTCCATCAATGGATATATGGAGAAGCAAAATGTGGTTATTTATACAATAGGAAGTTACTCAGCCTTAAAAAGGGAGGAAATTCTGATATGTGCTTCCACCTGGATGAACCTTGAAAGCATTATGCTAAGTGAAAGCCAGACATAAAAGGACAAATATTGTGTGATTCCACTTATGTGAAGTCCCTAGAGTATTCAAACTTCATAGAGACAGAATGCAGAAGGGTGGCTGCCAGTGTCTGAATGGAGGGAGAATGAGGATTCATTTAATGGGTACAAAGTCTCAGTTTGGGACCATGAAAGCATCCTGGAGATGGACAGCACTGATGGTGGCACACAATGTCAATATACTTAATGCCATTGTACATAAAATTGGAAAATTTTATGTATATTTTAACAAAATTTTTTTAAAACCATGCGACCTACTTGATTCAGTGCCTTTGCCCAACAGTTAGGAAACTTGTGGTTTCCATATTCAGGAAAACTACTAACGTTGGTTGTTAACGTCTTGTGGCCAGGAGACTGGGATCAGAAAGTCTCCCTTCTGACAAAGGCAAAGAAGACAGAGAATACTCATGTTTGAGGGGAGATTTGAAGGGGCCAGCTAGGAATAGGACCATGATAGGACAGGGTGTGACTGATAGCGTGGCAGCAGAAACAGTCTAGGACCTGGGAAGGAACACACATAGTCCACACATAGTCCTGAGGCTAGAGTCCGCTCATGGTCTTCCATGGGTTGTTCATCCACCCCCTGTGCCAATGGTGGTGAGCTGGGGACTGGTGCAGCTCTGGGTGTGCCTATGCGCCTACAGTTGGTCAGTGTCCCTGTGGAGTGAGGAAGACAACAAATCCTTGCGCTTTCCGAGCACAGAGGAGTTCATGTTACTCATTCTGTAGCCCCAATGCTCCTGGGTTGGGAAGTGGACGCTCAGCTGCTGGAAAATAGGGCAGGAGGGGCCAGGGCATGATGAATGAGGCAGCAGCTGGTTCCACTCAGGGAGCAGGAAAGTGAAGGGTGCTTGAGGTTTCCTTCCTGACTTTGCTGCACATTTTGTGAAGAAGAAAAGGCAGAAGACTGGTGAAACCTTGCTTCTCTCAGAAACGCATTCTTGGAGCTGGGCACTGGTGTTTCATGCCTATAATCCAGCTATTTCAGAGGCTGAGATGGGGAGGATCCCAGTTTGAGGACACAGGGCAAATAGTTCACAAGACCCCATCTCCAAAATAACCAGAGAAAAATGAACTGGAGATGTGGTTCAAATGGTAAGAGTGCCTGCTTTGTAAGTGCAAAGCCCTGAGTTCAAACTCCGCCCCCCCAAAAAAAGAAAGAAAGAAAGAAAAGAAAAGAAAAAAATTTTTGGAAGGTCTAGAGACATGCCAGAGGACCCACAGCTTTTAGCAAGGGTCCTGGTACTGTTCAGAAGGATAATGGGATGCACTGTTTGCATTCTGGTCCTGAGCAAATGGGGCTGGCATGTACAGTGATGCAGTTCACGCACTGAACTACTGCACGTCCCTCACGTGAATGGTTCCACAGGAGCAGTGTGCGTGTACAATCTACCCCCGAGGCTCTGTAGGAGAGTGAGTCCTGTCAGCGCATCAGCCTGGGTTGCCCTTGCATGTGTCCCCAACCCTAAGCTAAATCCAAGAGTCTGGAAGTCTATGGGGAGGCAAGAGAATGTAGGAAAACCTATTGACCATTTGATAGGACATGGTATGATTTAGAATTAGGGCCATAGGAATGGTCTGGGTAAATAGTGTGGGGTGTGCTTGTCTGTGTCCACCAAGAGAGGATCTTGTAAGGGAGGTGACTAAATATAGGTGAGGAGGCCTAGCTTTGACATGCTCTTAGAAAGTTACATCCTAAACACTTGCCTAGCATGCACAAGGTCCTAGCAAGCACCAAAACAAAAAGTTATACCCTAAAAGGAAACCTACTTAGACTTGGAGTTTTGAATTAGTGAAAAAGGAGAATAAATTTATAGACTCATCCTAGTTGAATTCTTAGATTGTTCTCTATTGTGCCCACAGAGCGGGCACAATCTCCCTTCCTGGGGCTTCTATTCTATTCTAGTACAGACAGACACAGACATCCATTTATTCAATCATTCACTGTTTTTACCTACTCTGTGCCCAGTCCCAACCCCCCAATACACTTTATGGGAAGTTCAAATTGCAACAATAAATAAGGTAGGAGAACAGTGTATATATCCAGTCATATGCATACAGTTTTCCTGATTGTCCTCCTACTTCTCACTACAACCAGGAACCTGTGTGTTCTGGGTGCCCTGAGAAGCCTGGGATTTTGATACAAATAAAACATGTTGATGCTAGAGGAAAAGAGAAAGGCAGAGAGAAATGAGTGAGAAAAAGGAAGAGTAAAGCTAGGAGCCTGACCAAGGCAACGGGTGGATAGAAGTGTCCTGTATCTCTATGTGTATGGATGATTCACATCGAAATCCATGCGTGCACACATATAGACAAAGAAAAACAGCTTGTGGCCAATGAGGACCTGGAGGCCATGGCCTACAGTGCCTTGTGGTGTCTATCAGTCAATGGGCCAACAGCCTCCCCTCAATACAGATGTACACATGCACACACACACACACACACACACGCTCCATTCAACAAACAAGAATGAAGAAATGTACGAATCACAGTGTCGTTGTGAATATGCAGTGTGCCAGCACAGAACACAGCCTGCCATGTTCCTTGGAGAGCCCATGTGGACAGTCCCTTTGGCATGAGCACTTGGAACACTCCATGACTCCTGAACGAAGGGCCTGCTTTTATTGTATGGACAATGTAAATCTTGGAGTTAATCCTGTTTTCCACTGTTGCATTGGCTCCATTGAGCCATAGGAAGCAGGGCTGTCAGGCCAGCCACTGACGTGGCACCAGAGGCCTAGATCACAAGCTTGCAGCTGAGAGCTAGCATATTAGAGTTTGCCTGCCAGGATTCAGCTCCTGGCTGGGTCCCCAGCAGTTGTGTGGCCCCAGATACTTTAGTTTTTCACCTATAAAATGGGCTTGCCTACTCAGAGGGCTTCTAGGAGGTTAAAGGAATGAATGAGGGCAAAGAGCTGAAAGCTATACAGGGATTTTAGTAACAGTCAGCTAATAGGAATCATTCCTTAGGATTACTATTTTGCCCCAGTTTCCTCGTTTGTATTTTTCTAGTTTTCTCTGGTATTTATCTTTATAAGCCATTCTAAAGCCCTTTCGGAACAAAGCATAATATGAGTATATGCAAAAGCAGACACCATGCTAGACAGGAAGTTGCATGAAATGGTCAGAAGACAAGATTCTTGCTAGAAAGATAGTTAGGTTATCATTCCCATTTCCCCCTCCTTTCCCTACCCATCACTTATCTTTCCCACCTAAGCACCAGGTGGTAAAATCCCTTATACATTTATTGAGCATCAACTGAGTGGTAAAATCCTTTACACAGTGATTTCTTAAAGATCCATGAACTCCTAAAGATATCTGTCCCATTTCTTGTGCTTCTGTGAATAGACACAGTTTTTCTGGGAAAAGGGTCCTCTACGTCTATTCAATTCTCAAAGGGCTTGGTGACCCCCATAAAACCCAACGTGCTGTTTACTTGTCTGATCTGAGGTTTGTTGGCTTGGCCCCATCTCTTCCAGAGGAGGTGCCCACAAGCCAGAGGACCTTGGGTAAGGTGCACCCTTCCCTAGCCAGTTCTCTCACCTTTGAATCAGGCGGCTGGACTTGCAGCCTGCCAACACACCGTCCTGCTCTATTGCCAGCATGGAACGCCACTTCTTACCTCGAGGTCCCGGAGCACAGGGTGGTCTTCAATTCCTGGAAACAGAACCCTCATGGTGTAGGTTCTGTAGTCGAGGAAGGGAATCCCGGCTCCATCCAGGTCGCTGGTCAACTCATGGATGTCCGTCTGCAGCTCAGCAAAAGCTGGCACAAAGAGAAGCCTGTGAGTGTGCTGGATGGGACAGGTGCAAGAATTACCCCTACTGGGAGCACTCAGAACCCTCCCCCAGGCTCCTTGGGTGTATAAGCAATGGACCCTGGGTGGGCAGGAAAGACAGAGACAAATGACATTAGCATGGGAGAAAGCTCCTCTGTGCTGTGCCCTTTCAAATAGCAGAGGGATGGCAAGACTGTCTGCAGACCTGTGCTGTTGCTGGGACCAGAAGGAAATCCTCACCTGAAGATGAAGGGCCTTGGTTTGCACAGTGTGCTGAGGAGAAGGGTGTGGAGGTACAGGAGGAGAGAAAGAGGAGGTTGCCATGATGAGCCTATGGCTGGCACTGTGTTTTACCACTGGGTTACCTTATTAAATTTAAGAACTGCTTCTTTTGACAAAGGAAAAATGGACCATGCAGCTCACTGGGAACATCGAACTTCCAAATGGCACTCTGACGGAGGGACAGCCACATGGATCTGTTCTTTCTACACAGATATGCAGCGCGCGTCTTTGTTCTTCCTGCCTCAAGGTGATGTTACCTGGTGGTGAATATGGTCTGCAGGTGGGCACTGCTGTGTGGGGTAACCAGCCCTCTGGAATGGATAGAGGAGCAAGGACCCAGGTGGCCCCAGGGAAAATGTGGCACACAGTGCAGCCGAAGGTTGCCATGCAGAACCAAAGCTGTTGTCACACTCTGCCCTGGGCACATCCTCCTTTGGGGCTATCCTTTGGCATTAGAGATACTCAGAGGTGGGGCATCCAGTCCTGCCCTGCTCTGGCTCCTCCTTGATACACACACACACACACACACACACACACAAACACACACACAACCAGGATGGATTAACACATGTTGCCAAAGAAGAACAGAAACAGAATATTGGTTACCTAATCAATATTCCTTTTTATTTGTAAGGAAAAATACTTGATGGATGGACTCAGAGGGAATTTACAAGTGCAACATGTCTCTAAAGCCCTAGAAAAACAAGCCTAGCACCTAGCGATCTGTGAAGACACATGAACACGACATGGGACCTGTCTTGCTCTCCACTCTACAGAGCTGATGTCAGGACCACAGGTTTCAGCAGGTCTTGGTGCCAGAAGAGCACCAAGATTTGCTGGAGAGGACAAGGGGACAGGCTTAGCCACCAAGCGAGACCCACGGCCCCTCCTTCGCTCATCTCCATCCTCAGCTTTGCTCTGCTCATATAGAAACTGGGGTTTTTGTCATGCTGAGTGCCCCCCCCCCCCGCCCCGACACTCCTGAGGCAGGGAGTAATAATGCAGCTAGGCAGAAGTCACTCCAATGTGTGTGAACACAGGTGTATGTAAAAGGAGAGTCAGTAGGCATTTTGGGTGTGTACTGTCACCAAAGCTTGATAAAACACTGTGTATGTCCTGAGTGAGGAACACAAGTCTGTGTGTTTGCAGGAGTGGGTGGGAATGTGTGTGTATGAGCACATCAGGGAGTGTGTGTATGTGTGTGTGTCTACTCACATGTGTATGTGTGTGTGCTTGTGTGTGTATGTGTGTGTGTGTACTCACATGTGTATGTGTGTGCTTAGGCATCCAAAGCTCAGAGCCATGCAGGGCTGTGACTGGCAGCTTCTGAGTGTGGATGTGAGTGACATCCTTCCTGAATGTGACATCTCTGGCATGCCCTGGGCTCATGCCACTCTGCACATTTGTAGCACCCACACTGTCACTGGAAAACACCTTCATGGTGGAACCTGCCTGCCCCTTTTGGAGACTCCCTCTTTCTACCTTGGCTGCATGGCTATCCCCCAAGCCACAAGCCACCACTCCCTGTGGCCTCCACAGATTCTTGGGTTGAACCCTCCTTCCTTGGGGAACCTTCTAGAGGATCCGGACATTCCCCTTCCTCGGCTGTTCCCTCCTGGTTAGGGTGGTCTTGGTGCTAGCTGGCCAGAAGGAGAAGGAGGGAATTGGCTTTTGATTGGTTTGCCACTTTGCTTTAAGTCACCAACTGCCTCCAACATCCAAAGCCACACATAAAAGAGATTCTAATCACTACACCTAATTAGAAGGAAGAGTACATTGCAGAGAAAAAAATTAAGCAGTGTAAATATAATAAAAGGCATTAATTAATAGTCCTGCAAGGCAGATGCCATGCTGATGGCTGAAGGGTGCGGAGAGAGGATGGAACAAATCCACTTCCCCATCAAAAGTGGTGTGGCTTCCCTAGTGGGAACCGGTGTGATGCAGGAGCTCAGGTACAGGTTGCCAGCCAACAACCAGCTGGGCTCCTCCTTCCCAGAGTGACTCAAGCATGATGTCCTGGGGTTACAGGAGTCTTGCTGCTAAGTTTCCTTCTTGGGTCTAGTGCAGCTGATCTCACTTCATGGTGATGTTTGTAATTTTTTGAGATACGCTCTTCCTTCAAAATTGCAGAGCAGCCCTATAGCCTTCCCTTCCTGCTGAAGGAAGAGAGCTGCGGATTGCTTAAACATGTCATGCTGAGGCATCCCAGGCCTCCCCTGGTGGAGACAATGAAATCCACTCAGCCAGGGCTCTGGGTCCCGAGACAGCTTTCTGGGGCATAAATGATCCCAATCTGACACTCGGAAAGAGCTGGGGAGGAGACCTTCACTTACCTGAGGCCACATGGCTGGACTGCTAAGTGGGACTTTGGGACTGGCGTGAATGTTCTGCATGTAGGATACCCAGCCTCCAGCACCACCGGGCACACACCCACACACGCTCACACCCACACACACATGCACACAGCCTCCAGCCCGGGGCAGGGCACCTGGTCCCTCAGTACCTTCCTTGCATTCGAGGGCCACGCGAGACTCCAGGTTGTCCATCTGCATCTGCAGCCGCTTCAGCGTGAGGTCGCTCTCGCGAGACTTGCGTTTGTAGGCGATGAGCACAGCCACGATGAAGATGATGAGGAGGCCTCCGGCCACGGCGATGCTGACAATGGCGGGCAGGCTGAGTGGGCTGTCCGGGGCAATGTACACCATCCCCGGGGAGTACTCCATGCCACCGACGCGGGCCTGGCAGACACAGGGGAGGAGAGAGCTGGGGGCGGGGCAGCCTGGGGAAGAGTCCAGAGTCAGGACCAGGGTGTGGTTGCTGGGCAGGAGCATCCTTAGGTTGTAAAAATAGAGGAGAGGGCATCTGGGGGCTCCTCAACTAGGAAGTCTGTGCATCTCTTATTTGGGAGGCTGCGTTATCATCTTCATAAGGAAACTGCATACGACACAGGCCTGAACAAAGTCTGACATAATGTCAGCGATGCTTGCCTGAGATTCATCCTATCATCAAGGTGGGGGGCTGAGGCACAGAACATGACGTTAGGATGACTCGCTCCTTAAAGGCTCTCTTGCCTCTCTCAGGTAATTTGGCACTCCCTTTACTGTTGCTTTGCACTGCCCTTTGTATTCACCAGCTGGCTCAGAAATGACAAACAGAAGAGAGAAGCTGGGAAGCAGGGCGGGAAGAAGGAGGCAATGCTGTGGGGTAGCCAGGAGGAGAGTTCACAGTGGACCAGAAATCCTCCTGGAAAGTCCTGTGACCCGGATAGAGCTGGACCACTCCCACCCAGCATCCCTCATGCCTGCTCCATCCAAGATGGGGTTCCTCCTGCCTCACCATCACTTTGTGCCTGCCGATGAGATTAGGGGACTCGCAGAGCAGCTGCACGTCTGACACGGTCACGGTGCATGGCTTCTCCCCAACCAGCACTGTGTAGTTCAGCTTCACATTGCCTCCAGTCACAGGAGGGATCAGGTTCTTGCCCTGGACAGATAGGAAACCCACCCTCAAGTTGGACCACAGCTACTGGCTGGCTGCCCGGGCTTCCCACCTGGACATCCCATCCTACAGGTGAACTGGTAGAGATGCCACTGTCAGTTACAAGTCCAAAGAATCTATAGCACATGTTATCATATGGTTGTGGTTTGTCCCACCAAGGTTCATGTGTTTAAAGAGGTAGAACCTAGTGGAAGGTCATTACTGTCTCTTCCTACCCAAATCTTACCATGTGATCTTTCCTCTCACCTGTGCTCCCACTATGATACCCTTCTAAGAGCAAATACTATGCTATTTGAACTTTCAGCTTCCAAAACTGTGAGCTCAATCAATCTTTTTCCTTTGTAACCCAGCCTCATATATTTTGTGATAGTAACAGAAAGCAGTCTAATACAGCACATACGCTACCACTGTCCCTTCCTCCCAGTGGCAAATCGAAAACCAAGCACTCTTTTCAGTGTGTCTAATGCAGCTTCAGCACCCTTCTCAACATAGAGTTGTAGCCAATCACTACCAGTTGATTTGAATTGTCACAGGAGTTAAAATTGACTTGCCATCCATGCTCCAAAGAAAACCTAGGCTGCGGTTCCTGAAGGGCTACACGAGAGGATTCAGCGTGGGCCTCTGATTGCCGTGTTCCTAGACTCTGAGGACAAAAGCTTGGGAGTCCAATGGCACACGTGGATTTGCCTCCCCTGGTGGGTCAGGCCTATAAAGAGAGTTCTGGGCTACAATGCAACCTCTGCAAGGGATGCCAGGTATGAAACGTAGCAGGAACCTGTGACTTCAGGCCTCTTCTAGTAGGTGACCAGACACCCAAGCAGTGGCCTCCTTTCTCCCCATTCTCCTCTACCTTTAGAATGATGGGAGTGCCTGGCTTGAGTTCCAGGATTCCTGAGGGACCAAAGGCCTCAAACACAGGGTTCGGATAGTAGGTGAAGTTGGTCTTGTTGAGGACTAGCAGTGATTGGACATTGTCCAGGATGAATCCAAACTCCTCAGGCCTCTCAGTGAGGTCCGACTGGTGGTCAGGATCCAGGGCAAGGGCTGGAGCCTGGCAGGTCATCTCAGTAGCATTCAGAACCTCGCAGATCTGTTGGGGGGAGCCAGACAGGGAGATGATGCAGTGTATCTGCACACCTCCACGCCCACGGAGTCTGCCGGGTATGGTATGGTGAGTAAGGGAGCCATGGCCACACTTGGGATGCTCTGTGGCTGTCACCTAGCTCTGGCTGTGCCTACATGGGTACGGCAGTGACTAGGTATTTTTAAACTAGGAAGGAGCAGTGGGGTCAGGTTTTGAAACCCCAGAAGCTCAGGAAGTAATGGGTCCTCTAGGCCTGTACCCCAAAGGCTTAAAATGCCCTTGTGTTTGCTCCTCTATCCCACCCTCCCAGGATGATCCATGAATGGGCAGGGTTCTGCATGAGTACTAGGGAAGCCCCACCCTTTGAGGAGGCAACAAGCTGAGTGGCAGCCTCCACAGGTCCTGCCAGTCCCAGACTCACGTTGATGTGCTCTTTCCCTCCATGCTTGGCACGGATCTGGGGGTTCTGTATGAGGTCCAGGTGAGTCCCCCAGACGGCGATAGGTGTGTTTCCACTGACCAGGAAGAAAGAAAAGGACATAAGAATCACAAGTGTAGGAAAAGCAACGACACTCACCAATGACCATGATGAACTCTGACTATAAGGACAGAGGTCACCAGGTGGCACAAGAAGGACAAGCTGGCTGTGTAATAATAAGGATGCATATCCCAGCAGCCAAGGGGAAGACAGTGATGATCAGATGTGGAGGGGTCCCTCCCTATGGACTTGTGGAAGCCCAGGTGACATCATAACTCACTAGCTCTGAGGCCCCTGACCTCAGCCAGCTGCTTTTCTCAACCCCAGTCTCCTTCTGCAACCCTCACCACTATTGGGACTTTTTCATACTTGGCCTTGGTTTCATAGAAGCCTAGCTAACAATTCCCAACAGATCCTCCAGAGATTGAGCACAGTCTGCACTCCAGGGCAATCATGTTACAAAGTTCCTCCTTTGTGGCTGAAACCAGGAAGGCTGAAGCCCAGATACTCAGACACCTCCTCCAGGAGCACATGTGCGACATGTTCTGAGACTCGGGACTCAAGTCTCCTGTATACTTGAGCAGGGCGGGATGCTGATGGGGACAACTCAGGAGATTCATTTGGTGTCACCTTTCAAAGGATGCCACTGCTTTGTCCCAATGGAGGCCCAGAAGCTGGCAGGGAGGGTAGCCAGTACTGTGCTGGGCTCTCTCCTTGGGGCTACCCAACAGAGAGGGAGAAATGCCCTGGTTCCCAGTCAAGGGAGGCAGTTTGAGAAGAATCATGCTGTCTAAAGCAAGGTCTAGCAAGTTAGTTAGTTAATTATAAGCTCATTGGGTAAGGCTCTTTGACAACTGTGCCCGCATTGATTTCTACCCATCCATCCATCCACTCAACTTTATTTTTATTTTTTGGTAGTACTGGGGACCTCATACTTGTTAGGCAAGGCCCTCTACCACTTGAATCATACCCTCAGTCCTTTTGTTTTCAGTTTCTTTTTCAGATAGGACCTTGTGCTTTTGCCTGGGGTGGTCTCAGAAGGTGATCCTCCTACCTCTGCCTCCAGAGTGGCTGGGGTTACAGGCATCCACCACCATGCCTGGCCCCTGCCCAACTTTAGATATCCTGTTAATTCCTTCCTTTTCTCCTTGAGCGAGTATGCCTGTGTACACAAGAGGATTCCAGTGACACCCAGAGAGACTCAACACCTTAAAGTGTAGATGAGCTTCTGGTGTCCAGCCATCCCATCAGTTTCACATGCATGCCTCCCTCACTGTCCCTAAATGACCCAGCAGACTTGTGAGCAAGGCAAAGCCACATCTTGTGCAGAGTCCGCCCCCTCCTCAGACAACCTTAATCTAAGCAAAAATGCCAGAGCTGCCTGGCAGTCCCAACCTCCCTTTTGATGCGAGTGTGACGCAGGGATGTTGCCAAGTGCCAGGAAGGACGACACCTCTATTTCTGTGATGATATGAGGAAAAACTGAATTAAATCAGGCTGTGAACGCCTCAGAGCATCGCAGAGCTTCTAAAGTGAGGCACACAGAGCTCTGTTAACTTCCTCTACTCTCCAGGCCCTGGGGTCAAATCATGGCATGGCATTGACAGGCTGTTTTCCCCTCTGTGCCTATCATCTTCATTAAGATCATGACTAAAGCTTCTAACTTGGACCACACAGGGTGACTGCCGAGGACAGCTACATCTTCTACTTGCAGCCTTCCCTCTGGACTTAAGGCAGGGGCTGGCAAACTCTCTCTATAAAGGACCAGACAGTAAATATTTTAGGCTCCACAAGCCATATGGTCCCTGTCGCAACTACTCAGCTCTGTGCTGTAGTGAGCAAGCAGCTATAGACAATATAGATGGAGCGAGCATAGCTGTGCACCAGTAAAACTTTATTTACAAAAACAGGTGGTTAGTAAGATTTGGCCCAGAGACTCCTGGCTTTAAGATTGCTCCCTGGACTATACTTGTTCCTGCCCCTTGCCCCAGCCCATGGCTGTCCCCACTTGCCCCTAACCCCAGGTCCCTCTTAGAGCTAGAGAAGACAGTGGGGAGCACTTAGCACTGCACTGGGAGGAGGCAAGGGGGCTGAGCTGGACACTGCCCTCTCCTGTAAGATTGCATCTCACTTAATTCTCTCAGTTGCTCATGTGGGAATCCACAAAACAACCACCCTGGCCTCACAGAGGGTAAGTAGCTGTTAAGGTCCCTTATTTGATAAGCAGCAACCTGGGCAGAGCCCACTCCTTCCCAGCCCAACCCCTGCTTCTGTTCCCCATCTCCCCTGCAGATCAGCTTCTCAGGGATCTCAAAGGACCCTGCAAAAAGGACACTCTGCACAGCTTCCTCATCTCCATGAAGTCTCTTGTGCATGGCAGCTGCCTGAGGTGAGCCCACCATTCTAGGGATGCTGGAGATCCTGCAGTTTCCAAATCTCCAGGCAAATTGCCTGACTCAACCAGGGAAGCCAGGGAAGAGAATGTGGCTTGTCCCAGGTGAATGGCTGAAGGGTCTGACTCCTGCCCCAGGGCCCTTCTATAGCAGCTTCAAATCCCTAGCTCCACCTTCTGCGATCTTCATTCAGTGCATTCGTGTTGGACACTGGGGAAAGAACAAGGAACAAGTCCCAAACTGAGTCCCTGTGGAATCTGCAGTGGAGGGAAGGACAAAAAGGTAAGGAACTAGCGAGAGGGCTATGACGGCACAGAGGATGGGCAGGAACTGGACTTCAGGGCTCCAGGATGTAGCCTCACTCTGGAGCACTGAGCTTACTCCTTCTCCCACATACCTCTGAGGAAGGACCAGAAATGCTGTCCATATTTGCCAGAGGTGAGGCTTGGGGGACTGGAACTGGCACCTGACAGTCACTGTGGGATGGGGACACAACCTCCAAGCCTGCCACCAGTCCTGACCTTGGGGACATGGGTGCTGGCTGGTCCGAACTTAATCTCCAGGCTGGGTCCTGCACAGAGGTGCTCCCGGAGAAGGAGGGAGCCATGACAGGATGGTCATCTCACTGGGGGGTAGTGGGAACCAACCCCAGTTTATAAGAACCCAAAGCAGGACAGGGTCCCCATACTCTCCTTGGCTTTTGAGCACTAAAGAATGAAACTGAGATCCAGAGGCATGGGGGAACGGGGGAGCGGGGGGAGATGGGGCAGCTCCTACCTGATGATGCTCCATTCTGGCTCGATGCGCACGATGGTGGGGTCCTCCATATACTGGAAGACCAGGTCCTGGCGGATCTTAGCCCTGTCCACCTGCACTGTCACCTTCATCTCTAGCACCTCGTCTGAGGACGTGGTGTTGCAAACAATGTAGGATGGAGATCGCCTGGAAGGGGTAAGGCAGAGCACTGGGCTCCTGGGTGTTGGTGGTGATGGTGGTCCTTAGCTCCCCGTCTCCAATACAACAGGCTTCTCAGAGACAAGGGGTAAGCTCTGCCTCAGATGTGAAGCCCAAGAACCAGGGACAGACTGGTTGACCAAGGTGAGCCCACTTTTCAAATGGCATGGTTGTTGGGGCCATCTTTGGCCTACCTATTCCCATTTTTAACAAGGATTCTGCTAAATCAGTCGGTGAGAATCACACCCTTGATATCTGAGCTCCCTGTCTGACTTCAGCAAGAATCCTACTAAGGCAGTTGGGCATGTCTTTCTACTACTCTCCATGTCCTGCCCCTCTGTGGGTAGGCTATAAACCCCAGCCATGTTTGCTGCACTTGGAATGGAGCTGTCTCTGTCTCCTATTGTGACAGTCTCCACACCTACTGCAGTGCCCTGAAAGAAGTCATCCTTACCATTTTAACAAGTCACAATAATTTTCCTTCTTTCTTTCTTTCTCTTTCATTATTGTTGTATTGGGGGAACACTGTGACTCTTACCAAAGTTCTTGCAATATATCATAGTTGAATTCACCCCCTCCATCATTCTCCTTTATCCTGGAGTAGTTTCAACAGGTCTCAGAATTGTTTCTTTAGCATAAGGCCTGGTCTGGTCTGACTTGGATCTGTCATAGCTCTCAGCATAGCCTCCTCTGGAGAAACCTCTCTAGAGACCCTCACTCAGGCTGGCCACATCTCTGAGTCCTTCCCTGGAGGTGCCACCTGCTGATCCTCCCCCGGATCCCTTCCTGCCTATAGAAGGCATGTCCTTCCTGACTGGGGCTGTGGACAGGAAAGGGAAAGTCCCTTGCCCCTGGAGGTTCAGCCTCAGTGCAGCTCCAATGGGCTCTGGGCAGTCGCAGAACCTTAACAGGCTGCTGCTCTGGATGGTTAATCTGCACCCTGTGGTTCCCAGGTCTCTGCAGAGGAGCTGTGCTGGGGTACTGGGTAGGCTGCAGTAGGAAGGCCCTCTGGGGAACCAGCCCCAACCCCTGCCCACTTTCTTAGGGAAGAGGAAGGACTTCCAAGACTCAGCCCAGAAGTGGCTGTCCTCCATTTCAGTAGAGCCCCAAGCCTGCTCTGCATGGTTTTCCTGTCTGACCCCCACCCCCACCCCAGGACCCTGGGGTTACCTGTGGAAGAGGCAGGGCTGCTTCCCAAACATCACCACTACGTTGCTGCCGGCATTCAGGTTGGTGCCTGTGATGGTCACTTGGGTGCCCCCAGACATGGGTCCCCGGCTGGGCTTCAGGTCTGCGAGAGTCAACGTCTGTGTATGAAAGGATGAGGCCTGAGACACACTAGGGTAGGCAGGCCTGGACAATGCCCTGTACACAGAGCTGCCTTCTGGAATCTTTACCCTCTAACCAGTCTGGTGAGAATCACACTGTCTTGATATCTGAGCCCTCTGGCCTGACTCCTAGAGAGCTGCTTTTCTTATTCTGTGCAAATATAGAGACCCTGAATGTCTACGTCTCTATATTAGTAAAAGCAGTAATGATGGCTACAATGTACTGATTTTTGTGCCAGACTTTGTCTTCATCTATAGCAGTGTATATGTGTATGTGTGTATACATGCATACGTATGTATAATCATCCAATCAATTCTATAAAGTAGATATTATTAGCAATTTCACAGATCAGATTCAGAGATGTTAAGTAATTTTCCCAAGGTCACACAGCTAAAAAGCAGCATAATTGAGATCAGACTCCAGAGCTCGAGTTTGCTGCCACCACTCCAATCTACAGCTTTGTTGCTTTGGGGACCTCTCCAGAAAGCTGCCCAAAGCACCTGGTGGCAAGAGCAATGGGATGTGATAGGGGCCTATCCTCAGCCCCCTGCCAGGATGGGCACAGGGAGCTGAGGGGATGGGGGCAGGGAGGAAAGCCCTTGACTGCTGGGGATTTGGAGTTGCAGTTTGTTCTTTCATTAGCATTTTAATGGAAAACTTTCTTCAGTCCCAGGTGAGAAGCCTGTATCTGCATTTAAATGAAGATTTCTCTCTCCCTTCCCCAGTCTTGGCCCCTGAAAGAACTCAGCAAGAAGTTCAACCGCGTGGCTCCTCTGAGCCGCTGGCCATGTCTCTCAGGAGGCCAACACTGGGAGCTGGCACATCCACTACCTGGCTTGAGTCCAGGTCCCTGTGCTGAGCCCATAATCAGGGACAAAGCTGGAGACACCCGCTGACCCAGGCCTGGCCAGTCCTTCCAGCCAGCGCAGGCCAAGCTGTTCCTGTTTTGGTTTGAAATCCTGGCTCTGTTTGGAGCTCAGCTGGGGCCTGGGAGAAGTGTGGCAGAAGGAGCTCCCTCTCTCAGCTCCGTCTGACCATGCTGTGTGATTCAGACAGTATATTGAAAAACCCCTCTGGTCACAAATCCATGGGGTTGGGCCAAAAACTGGTTCCCTCTGTGGCCCCTGACAGCTGTCTTTTGTAACTTGCACCTTTCCAAATGGTGTCTTTGCCCCACTGACCGCCCCACAGAGGGAAGGGGGAGAGTCTATCCATGCTTCCAGCTAAGTCTAGAGACAAAGCCAGGGAGGTTGTACAGCAGCACTCCCTGGTAGCTGTGGGTGAGGTTCCTGAAAAGGACAGAGGTGAGTAATCTCTAAGGGCTTTGTGGTGGTGCTATCAGGGGATGGACTAGGGATGGGGAGAGAGTGTTATGGAGACATGTTTTAGAGTTATGAGAAACTGTTAATTATTCAAGTCATGCTTCATAAATAGTTCATGGTGGATTTGCACGGGAATTCAAAATCTGCATTATTTGCCAGTTCCTCACATGGCTCCACAAATGGGGGTAGAAAGAGAAGGAAAAAGCATTCCCTGGGGATAGGTGCAGTGGTTCGTATCTATAATCCCAGCTACTTTGGACAGAGAAATAGGGAGGTTCATAGTTCCAGGCCAGCCCAGGCAAAAAGTTATTGAAACCCATGTCAACAAACTGAGTGTGTTGGTGTGTGTTTATAATCCCTGCTCTTTGGAGGCATAATTAGGAGGATTGTGGTCCTCAGCCAGTCCTGGGCAAAAAGCATGAGACCCAATCTGAGAAATAACTAAAGGAAAAAGGGCTAGGGGAATGACTGAAGTGTCAGAGCCCCTGCCTAGCAAGCGCAAGGCCTTGAGTTTAAATCCAGTACCACCAAAAAAAAAAAAAAAAAAGCATTCCCTACATGGTCACCTCTGTGACAGAGCCAGTGACAAGCCCAGGAGTGCTGATCTGGGCGCCTTGGTCTTGGCCTTTCAATGATAAACCACACAACAGAGCTGGCCTAACTTATGGAGGGAAACCTAGGGTGCCCCTGCTTTGGCACTGGGAAGGGATCCCCAGCATACCAGGTCCTGAGAAGCACCTCTGCAAAGGGATCTTCAACCTGCCAGGTCTCTAGAGGAGCATGGAATAGGGGGGACTCCCAACTATCCCAGGACTCTATTTGGGCCCCAAGGAGTGTCACCCACAAGCCACCTAGCAGAGGGGAAGGTGGTTGGAAGATTCTGTCTCTACCCATATCCCTGGTGAGACTCATGGGGACCTCTGTAACTTGTTCCCACCTGGGACTGCATGGGGGAATACCATGACTCAACCCTGATTGCAAATGGGGTATGGAAGAGGCTGGGGTTCTCACACCATTCTCCTGCCTGAAAGTCTTCCTAAGAGGGCACATGGCACTACAGTAATTCCTTGGAAGTGTCCCTCAACTCGAAAAGTGACACAGGTCTTTGAGCTCAGGACCCATTGAATGGATGCCATTTGCCTTGTGGTACCCACTGTCATGGTTCTTGGAGGAACCATGGTCCTCAGCCCAGGCTGCACAGCAGAATCACTCGGGTACTTCCTGACCAAGCCCACCTGCAGAGTCTGACTGAAATGGGGGTGCAGCACCTCTAGGGCATTTGTTTGGGCCCCTAGGAGATCCTAATGGGTAACATTAAGTCAGAAGTGCCCACACCAGAGGGGCTAGAAGTAAAGGCCCTGATTTTGTCTCCAAGGCTTCTCGGTGACCTGGGAAGGCCAAGGCCAAAGTGACCACTGAGCAAGGTGCTGGCAGATGCTCCAGAAGCAAGAGAAGAGGGCCACAAGGACCACAGGGGTCCTCAGCATGGGTTTGAGTAGTAAGACCAAAGAGTGGGTCAGGAGCAGGGCTCTGAAGAAGAGGGAGAAGGTGGAGGGGGAAGAGGGAGAAGGTGGAGGGGGAAGAGGGACCAGGAAGGCTGGGGCTGGAGGACAGGATTGGCCAGACCAAGGAACTTGGCAGCATCTCACAGGTAGAGGGAGCCTTGAGATGGGCTCACTGGGTGAAAACAGTATGTCCATGGAGGTACATGGGTTACAATGGGCTCAGAAGAAAGGCACAGGAAAGATTAAAGGAGCCATGATGGTGGCAAAGAGAATGGGAAAGTGGGGCTGAGGACAGGCAATTGTTGACATCAGGAATTAAAGGAAACTGAGCTGCACTCTGCCAAGTTCATGGACCTGGGGCACAGGCCACTGGCAGAAATGAGTGATGTGGACTGTTTGTGGGGATAGACAACCTAGATGGGTCATGTGGTGGACAGCAGGATGTTCAGATGGTCATAGAGGTGAGAGGCTCATGGGAGACTCACAGCAAAGGCAGCTGAAGCTCCAATGAAAAGTGAGCATAGTGAGGTGAAGGCTGCCCTGGCCAGTGTGGTTGCCTGGCTGTGGAAGGCCAGGACTTCCCTTGGCCATTCAGCAATTTCCTTCCTCTTCACCTCAGCCGCAGGCAATTTCAGAACCAGAGTCCATGCACGATACCCATTGAGCATCATCTGTTCAGTGACAGCCAGAACAGCCAGAACATCCAGAGGTAGATTGCTTCCCAGGAGCAGAGGTGAGGAGGAGCCAGGTGGACCAGGCAGGAGAGGTGTCTGATCTGCATTTCTCTGAGATTCCCCCACCACGTTCAAGTCCTTGCATGTGGTGATCTGATCTCCCTGAGACTGTGGGCCTTCTGAGGGAGGGGCTGGGTGGGGTCTTAGTCATTGTAACCTCACAGCCAGGGTCATCAAGTTATATTAGAACATTCAATTTAATTAAACACGTACTTATCAAAACGTGCTAAGGAGAGCATTGTGCGAGGTGATCCTGGCTGTCAGTTGAATAGAGAAAGAAGAAGCAGAAAGGAGGGAGGATGGGAGGGAGGGAGACAGGGAGGGAGAAGGAAGGGGAAAGTGGGATTCTTCTTGTTCCAGGGCTTTGGATTCCCAGGCAGAGCCTCCATCACTTCAGGATTCCAGCTTACCAAAGAAGCCAGAACCTAGAGACTGTACCACTGCAACTGTCATTGATCTGAGATGTTTATTTTTGAAAATGATGGGGTGTGGTAGGGAATGTGCTTATGTCTCCACCTCCCTAAAATCACAGGAGAAGGAAGTCCAGAAGTCCCTGCCCCTTAGAACCACTGATCAGGCAGCCTGGCGAGGGTAGGAGGGCCATGGGGTTGGAGGGTTTGAGACCTGCAAAGAAGCCAGGGGGGGAGGACAGGAGTGGAAGGGAGAGACGGGATGGGTGTGTAGGTGGGATGTGGAGTGATGAGATGCAGTGTAGGGGCGGAGGGGTTAAGGAGGTCACAGGGTAGGAGTGACAGTGGGCGGTGGGCAGGAAGAATAAGGGTGATGGCAGGAGTGTACGGGAAAGGCCAGGGTGCAGAGAGAGGGTGGTAATCATGGATATGCCAGAATGAATAAATAGATCTTATGTCATTTTCCCCATACTATGGAGTAGATGCTATTATTATTCTTCCCATTTTACAAATGAGGAAACCGAGCCACAGAAAAGTTAAACGTCTTGCCCAAATTAGTAAGGGGCAGAGTCCAGGTACAAGTCCCCAGAGTTTCCATGTGAAGGCCACACTCTCACCCACCAACCATACCACTCTGCCACTTAGCCAAATGGGGACACTGGGGCCAAAGGCTAAATCAACTTACCTGAAGTGCCACAGCCAGGCACAGCTGAGTCTGGATTTGAGTCTGGGTCTTACAGACTTCACAAGTTATGATCTGCTCACTGTGAGACAGGGCTCCCATGAACTTAAGGGGTTCACACAGGGACCCTGAATTTGCCCAGAGGTCTAGTGGGGCCCAGCAATGATGGTCATGAGATTTCTTGTGGCCAGGACTCACCATGAAATAATAGAGCTGCGAGGAGCGGGCCATGAACTCTGGTCGACACACAGCCACACAGATCTCCACAAATCCCGCGTGCTGGCTGGGCTTTGCCTCCCCCATCTCACACACAATCCTGCAGGAGGAGAGGAGAGATGCCATGGGTCACAGGACTCCAGCCATGACCCTGGACTCCCTATGTCACCTACCCAGGTCTTCTGCTATGCAGGAGATCTTGGGTATGGTGGGGGAGAAGGGAGTGAAGTCACCCAATTGCTCCTCTGCAGGGGTTCCTCCTTGGTTCTCAGGAAATGAGGAAACTTGAGGGACCCTAGGAGAGAGTCTGAGTGACCCTAGCCACTTGATTCGAACTATGAGTGTCCACTGACTCTTTAGCAAAAGTGGAGAAAATGTTCAAGCTCAGAAAGGTTAGGTGAGCTACCCATGGGCACTCAGAAAGTCAGCCCTGAATGTGGAGTTGACCTCAGGTTCCCAGGTCCTTGCCTGGGAGCTCCTTGTTCCCAGAACCTGAAATGCTTCAGAGCTGTGCTTTCTGCTCCCAGCTAGCTCAGTTTCCATGACATACTTAGTGTGTGTTTGTGGCAAAGTGTGTGTTATAAATACCCTGATATACATATACGTATACATATACATATACATATACACATATATTCCCAGTTTGCAAGTAAAGAAACTAAGGTACAGAAATGTTAGGCAACCTGCACAAATATACATATAAGCTTCCCTCTATATCAATGGGATCCACATCTAGATTCAACCAACTATGGATGAAAAATATTGCCCCCCAAATTCGTATCTGTACTGAATATGTACAGATTTTATTTCTTGTTGTTATTCCCTAAACTATGTAGTATAACAACTATTTACATAGCATTTCCATTGTATTATGTATTATATGTAATCTAGAGATGATTTAAAGTATATGGGAGGATGTGCAGAGCTGATACAGTGCTGTTTTATAGAAGGGATTTGAATATCTATGAATTTTGGTATTTGCCAAAGGTCTTGGAACCAATCTCCCAAGAATTCTGAGATACTATTGTATTTCCATACATACACACATACATGCAGGTCCATGTGTGTATGTTTCATATGCATTTATACAAATATAAATGTTATCCATATACATGCATAATATAATTATGCCCAAGTATGTATATACATGTGTGTGTATATATATGAAACATATGTACTTTTTAAGCTAAAACAACATACTTACTGTTCTAAATTCCTCTGTTTTTACTCAACAATACAGCATAGAATTTCTTTCATATCTATATATAGATAGATAGATATTCTATTTTATTCTTTCTAACAGTTTTGCAATATTTTGTACTATGACTAAACCATCATTTATGTAATCATCTTCCTGTTGATGGGCATTTACTTATCTTGATTCTTCTCCTGCTTCAAATAACCCTGAAAATAAACCAATTTACACACACATATATTGATTAGAATAGACTTCTAGGGAGAGAACTTGCTGGGTCAAATAGTTTGTGTATTTAACTCTGATAGGAAGAGTCAAATAATTCTCCAAAAAGGCTGTACCAACTTGCACTTCTATCCGTGATTCACTCTTTTAGCCAAAACTAGATATTAGACATCTCCAAGAGTTTTTCCAATATACCACAGAAGAAAGATCTCATTTTAATTTTAATTCCCTTGATTACTAGTGAAGATGCACACATTTTTGTATTTTTCTTAATGTTATATTGCCTTCTCTGTGACTTCTCTATTAAAGCCCTCTCTATTTTGCTGATGGATTATCTTTTTTTAGGACTTCTGAACTGGTGTGTTAACGTCTGTCTGCTTGAAATATTGCAATTATTTTTTCCCTACTTGTAATCTGTCTTTCACCTTTGTCTCCAATACTTCCTGCCACTCTAAAGTTGGAAAGTATCTGTGTGGTTAAGTTGATTGTTCCTTTACTTTGCAGTTTCTAGGTTTTGTGTTTCTTAAAAAGAACTTCTGAGGAAAGGTCCTATAAAAACGTACACCTTTCTGTCCAGATGACGTAATCAATATATGCTCAGCATAAAAAATATGGAAACTACATAAAAATATTTGTCAGAAACACACAACCCCACCCTATTGCTCCACTCAAAGATACCCTTGTGAACATTTTGCTTTATATGTTTCCAACCTTGCTTTTCTTTCACAAAATTAATTCAAAACTGTATTCTGTTTGGTAATCTGTGTTCAAGCTTAACCACGTATGTGCCTGGCCACCTTCTTCTTTAATATCAGATTTAATGGCTGTTAATTTACTATACTGTGCATATACAGATAGCCCCCAACCTACAATGTCTTAACTTACAATATTTTAGCACTATGACCCTGTGAAAGTGATACAAAGTTGTACTTTGAATTCTGAACCTTCATCTTTTCCTGAGCTAGTAATATGCCCTGTGATGCTCCCTGCCATGCTGGGCAGTATCTGAGTCAGGATCACAAGGGGAGGCACCTGGTACTCTGCACTGGGCTGTGTTGCCAAGCTAGGGTGCTTGGTAGACTGGGTGCATTCAACTCATTTTCATCTTTTGATGCTTTCAACTTATGATGAGTTTATCAAGATGTAAATCTTCTGGGGCACAAATAGAGGTCATGGTACAGCACTTGCCTAGCATGTACAAGGCCCTGGGTTCAGTCCCCAGCACCACACACACACACGCAAATGTAACCTTATCATAAGTTGAGGAGCATCTGTGTAGTAATTTACTGAATTGATGAGTTCCCTATTTTTAGACATATAACTTGCTTCTGAAGTTTTACTATCATAAATAAAGCTGAAATAAAACATTTTTGCATATAAACATTTGTGCAATCTGATTAGGGAAATTTCTAGAAATGTGGTGGCCAGGCTAAAGGCTTTTTGTTTGTTAAGACAGGGTCTCGCTGTGTAGCCCAGGCTGACCTTGAACTGGAAATCCTCCTGCCACCACCTTCCTAGTCCTGAGATTACAGACCTGAGCCATCATGCCCTGGCAGGCTAAAGACTTTTGAGCCATCTTTTCAAATGTCCTCTAGAAAGTGAGTGAATAAGCCGTTACTTCTAGGCCTCTCATCGCACTGGGCATTAACTTTTAGAAATTACTCTTCACTGTTTAAATTTGCATCTCACATGACTTTTGGTTCTTTGTAAATTATATATTCATGTTCTCTGCTCATTTGGTGGTATCTGCCTTTTATTTATAAGGCCTCTTTATCTGTTTAGAAAAAAAGTATCTATTAGCTGTGATAGGGCATAACCATATTCCCAGCTTATCAGTCACATTATTTATTTTGCTTTCACTGATTTCAATGTGTAAGTTTTAAAGTTTTATGCACTCAAAATCCCTAATCTTTTATTTTATAATGTCTTCTTTTGTAGTTAAACTGAGAATACATTCCCCTTCCTGAAATTAAATAAATTCTCACCTGTATTTTCTTCTAATCTTTTTACAGTTTCATATTTTACTATAACTCTTTAATCCATCTGGAATTTATTTTGGTGTATAATGCGAAATAAGGATCTTACATTGTATGTTTTCCAGGAATTAACCAACCATTTATTTAATGATCTTGCCTTTCTTTGTTGATTTGAAATGTCACCTTCATCACATACTAATTTTTTATATATCTGAAATGTCACCTTCATCATATACTAATTTTTTATATATCAGGATTCTTTTCCTGGGTGTTCTATCTCATTCTATGGATCTAACTAATATCACACAATATTTTAATCCTGTGACTTTATGATGACATTCTTGATACCTGGCCATGTAGGTCCAGAGTAAGGTGTATTAAACTTTCCCAAGTCACAATGTATCAGTAGCCACCTGCTAGAAAGCTCTCAGAAAGTTATAGGCACCACAGAAAGGTCTTTTGGTAACTGAGGGATGATGGGCCAGGGAGATGAGAGTCCTACTAAGACTGGAGTCTTACTTAAATCATCCTATCTGCTATGAGAACCTCGCAATATCTCAAGGAACCAAGGATGGCAGTGCCAGCGGGTGGTTCATTTCATAATCACTAAATCCAGGCAAGACCCAGCAAGCAGAAACGCAAACCACACGACACCCAAGGGAGGTCTCACCAGCAGCCAATACCTTATGTGGACTGGATCGGTGACAAGGTTGTACTCTGGGAAAGGCAGTAAGATGGTATGGAATACTGATTCTATTGTGCTGGCAAACATTTCAGAGTTGTGTTTGCTAGGCTGGAAAATAGTGTTTACTTATTTACAAGGCAATACATAACTCACGAATCTCTACTAGGTGGGTTAGAGGTCAAAATCACCTGTCAAAGGAACTCCCTCAGTGGGCCAGTAGACTTTGCAAAGACAAAAATAACCCAAAGTATCTGCAGACCTGGGAGTAGGTGTGGAATTTCATTTCCACCTCCATAGAGAGTAGCACAGGTAGGCTTCGTGATGGGGGAAATGAAGAGGGAGCTAGCGACAGTGTGGGAATTGGACCCCAACTTCTCTGGCAACCTTTGATCTGGCTTTGTCTCATCTCTATCCCCATTCCCCAAGTGAGCAGCAGTCACTTTTCTCTTCTCTCACAGCAATTTTCCCTTTCCCTCTCTACACTTTTCTAGTATAGCCACTCACTGGAGGGTGAGGAGTGGTGGGCCTCCCCCTGCCTACCCAAAAATGTTAGGGGCTGCATCCTTTTCCCCTACCATAGCTCTGAGCCTGTCTGTTGTTGATCAGGAAGTTTCTAATACAGTTTGAACATCCCTAATCTCCAAAATAGGTTCCAAAATCTGAACTTTTTGAGGACTGACATGACACCATAAAAATTATATACTATGAAGCATTGGTTCATGCAGAAAATTATTAAAATATTGTATAAAATTATCTTCAGCCTATGTGTTTATAAGGTATATAAGAAGCATAAATGAATTTTGTATTTAGACATGGTTTCCATCCCTAGGATATCTCATTATGTGTGTGCAAATATTCCAAAGTCTGACAAAAAACCCCCCAAAATCCCAAATGTTTTGGATAAGGGACACTTGGCACTGATACATCTTCCTTCCTCTCCTGCTCTTCCCCGCGGCTCAGGTGGCTTCTACTTACTGTTCTGCAGGGATGTAGCCATCCACCAAAGGGCTGCACTCCACACCGGCCACCTTGACATGGGAGGCAATGTCCCGAAATTCTAGGCCCAGGTTCTCTCCTCGGATGGTAACCTTAGTGCCCCCTTCTCGGGGGCCTGTCACTGGGATTATCTGCAAGGAGGAAGAGGGTAATTGTACAGGCACCAAGATAAACTATCACTCACTTGCTGAAAGGCCAGATGGTGGCTTTTTTTTTTCCCCCATGGTACTGGGGCTTCAACTCAGGGGCCTAAGCTTGCTATGCTTGCTAAGCAGGTGCTTTCTTTACCACTTGAGCCACTCCACCAGTCCAGTGGCTGGGTTTTTTTTTTTTTTTTTTTTTTTTTTTTCTCCTCTGAGCCCAGTTCCTTTAGTGGGTCCAAGAATGTCTGGGGCTATGAATAGGCTGTAACCTTGGGTAAAGCCATCCATGTTTGTGTGTGGTCTTAGAAGCCACGTTCAAATCCCCTGGTATATATTTCCACCACATTGGGAAGAGGTGAGGGATGGAATGAGGGTGCAGTGTTACCCAGCAAGTCATAAAAACCAGGATTAGAGCCTTCCAGCATTTTCCTGTGTTGGTTTCACGCTTTAGAAAAGTAAAACCCTCCTATCAAACTACAGCCATCCATACCTAGGATCCTCCCAACACACACCTTTCTAGATCCTTCTCTAATGTCACTTCCTCATAATCAGGAATTCCCTCTGTCTACTAAAATTCCAAGGCATATTCTTTTGCTACTTTCATGGCAATAAATACTCGTGTCTGACTCCCCATCTTTCTACCTCAGATCCCCCTTGTTTGGCGGTCCTGGGGTTTGAACTCAGGGCCTCATGCTTGCGAGGCAGATGCTCTACCGCTTGAGCCACTCTACCAGCCTCCCCCCACCCCCTTTTCTTTTGACCTTGAGCATCTGAAAGCAGGGATATATGTCACTGCTCTTGTGGTCTTGTTAGAGGCAACACCATATTTATAGTGTGAACTGTAACTGTGTTGAACACATACACCTATCAAAGAGTAATAGGAGCACTTGTCATGCCCTTTGTCTTCATTGCTTGGGCAGAGGTGAACTTAATTTAGACTGTAATATATTGGTTACAATGATTGGTCTTCCCCTCTTAAGACATCAACCTTGGGGTTAAAACTGATGATTGGAATGTTAAGACTCAGCAATCAAGGCCTGCTTTGAGGTAAGGTAGGGACAGTGACAATCTAGTCATCACCTCCCACATTCCACATACCAGACAGGGCTCCTTCCTGCTCCTGGTCTTCTGAGCACTGCACTTGGATCATGGTCCACATCAGGGAATCTGAATGACAGGAGCCTCTAGTCTTTCCCATCATGTCCTACTGACCCACCCAGCAAGGGCCACAATGGGGGTTCCATCCTGGGGTGAAGATGGAAGTTGGAGGAGCAAAAGGCACTAGGCAGGGCGCCCCAAGTGGCAGCTTAGCACTGGGGAGTCTGCTCACCTATAACATTCTAGCTACCTCCTGCCCCAATACATCCCCCACGTCAGCTTGTGAGCAAATGCATACACGGTTGTGAGGATTTGTATGAGTGTTTTCCTGTTACAGTGGAAAAACAGCTTTCCTGGAGACATAGGCTCATATCTTTGTGAGAGAGGTTGGCAGATGTGGAGAAGGTAGGGAGGGAGTACATAGTTTCTTCCCCAATGCTGCCTTGTCCCCAGTGTGCCCCCCAGCTCCTGGTGACTGCAGCATGAGAGTCCAGCTCTAGCTTGTCATACTATACATGGATGTTCAGGTTCCCTGGAGGATGGATGCCAGCACGAAGGCAATAAGTAGCCTCCTATGCAGGAAGATTTGTTTCATTTCATGCCTCCTCCCTGTGATTTTCTTGGACTTAGGCCAAGAAGAAAGCAAGTTTCACCAACTGGGTCCAATATACCATGACCTGTCCAGGGATGGCTTCTCATTAAGGTTATGGATACAGCAATTCTACAGAGGTGGTCCAGGAGTAACAGGCTGGGAAGGAGAGAGGGGGTCAGGGCCCAGGGATGGGGTCAGGGGCAGTGGTTAGAGGGGTGTCTCCCTGCCCTCCTGCTTCAGGTCTGTAGGTTAAATCTGCCAACATTCCCCTGCCCCCCATCTGAGAATTGCTGTTTGGAAACCTCCCCATGCAGGAGGCTGAGAGCAATTCCCAATGTCCAGACAACCAGAAGTATGGAAGGTGAAGGGGCTGAGGTGTGGGCACATTTTGAGGTTACTCTGAGGTGAGTGAGGCTGTTCTCTCACAGAAGCCAACATCCTTTCTACTCTGACATGTCCTGGTGTGCAGTTTGTGTGGGAATATGAAGTGGCATCATCACAGTGAGGAACACTAATCTAGGACTCAGGGAGCTAGAAGTCAGGACATTTTCTTTACACTCTGCTTGTTTGCTTTGGATGGTGTTGGGAATCAAACCCAAAGCCTCACTCATGCTAAGTAGAGGCTCTACTACTGAGCTACATCTTCAACCCTTGTTTAGACTCTGGTCAGAGCAAATACTCACGTCTGACCTTGGTGACCATGATGGGTTGAATTGTGTCCCCCAACAAATTCATATACGGAAGTCCCAACTAACCCTAGTCACTCAGAATGTGATCTTATTTGGAGACAGGTCTTTACAGAGGGCATCAAGCATAAATGAGGTCATTAGGGTGGTCTTAGTCCAATATGACAGTACTATTCTCATTTAAAAAAAAAAGGCATCTGGGACACATGGAGACATGCATAGAGGGAAGACGATGAGAAGACACAGGGAGAGAAGATAGCCACCTACGAGTTAAGGAGCCAGGCTGCAACAGATCCTTGCTCCCAACCCATACCTTGATCTTGGACTTGGTCCTTCCAGAATTGTGAGGCAGTAAGTTTCTGTTGTTTAAGCCACCTGGTTCATGGTACTGAGCTCCTAGCAGAAATAGCAACCCAACATAACAGGGCTGCTGTGGACTGATGAGGCATAGTAAGGTGCATTGCAACTTCTATAGCACCACACATGTACAAGGCCTAGGACTGGGGCTGCCATAGCTCAATATCCAACAATGCAATTGTGTAACTGTGCAAAATAGAGTGCCAGTTTGTCCTCATGGTAGCCTTTTATATTGGGTGACCAGCACTATTGGCCAAGTAGGGTTGAAAGGGTCCTAGCCCTTGGCAGGGTGAAGGGTAGCTCAGTAGCCTAGAATGAGCTTCAAGCCAGCCCTGGCTTACCTCTGTAATGCGTGGGTTTGTGCACTTGCTGTTGGCACCTGACAGCTCCAGCCATCGGCTCTCATGGGCAGGGCAGTGCTGGCGCAGGGTGCACTGTCCTGGGCTCTGGCACCAGCCGCACTCGAAGTCTGGGTCAGCCTTGAGGCAAAGCCCACAGCTCTCACGCATGGCCCCACACTTGTAGAGGTAAACTGTAGAGGTCAAAGGCAAGAGGCACTTCGGGATGTGAAGAAGAGACTAGAAGCTCTCAGGGATCCAGGCATGAAATGCAGTCTCAGCCTGATTGGACCCAAGGGCAATTTGGTTCCCTTAGCTATTGTGATGCAGAGAAGACTGAAATGGAGCCCCAAGCATGAGCAGAACTGAAAGGGGAAGCTGTGGTTCTCCATTTAGACTCAGTAGGTCTTCTCAGCAAGAACTATTGATTCATTTTCCTCTGCAAGCCACCTCTGTGGAGAGCCCCTGACCCCAAATTGCTGGGGAAGTGTGGATGGTGGGGAGGCTGCAAAAGAAGGGCTTAGAGCCCAAGCAAGACCGGATGATCGCTAGGAGGTAGAGATAGAATGACACCTGCCCAAGGACACAGAGCTACTCTACTTCCCCACCAGCCCCAGTCCCTCCGCACCTGTATTCTGAGCTGGGTTGTCAATGTTGAAGTGCCCATTCCACACCACTGTCAGCTCCACAGGCAGGTTGTTGATCTCCATTCCTTCGTAGGAATACTACAGCCAGGCCAGGAGAGGAGAGAAGAAAGCTGGTCAGAGATTTCTAGGGAGACCCTAGAATGGCTTGGGGCCATTGAGAGCACACAGGGGTAAGGACCAGCCAAGATGGCATATTCATCCACGTGTGTACTCATATATGCACATGCAAATGTGTATATGGTCAGGATAGGGGACCAGAGGGCTCAGCTGATAAAGCCAGGAGTGGGACCAGACCTCCACAGCACACATATGTGGCAGCACACCTGGTTTAATGAGCAGCGAGGGCGAGCTTCTCTTTCACTTGCAGAGGTCTCGGTAGGAGGCTATAGACAGGAGGCTCTTCCTGCCCTCTGGGCTTTCCCCAGGAAGTTTAGTGGAGGGGAGGAGCTCTCTTTCTCCCTGGCTGCCACTGGACCCTGCCAGGCCCATATTTATCCTGCAGAACTCTCATTTCTAGGAGACATTCCTGTCCTGGCTTTGCCATAGACCAGGAAGAGGAATGATTCTCAACCTGGCACAGGGTGAGGGCACAGAGAATAAGAATGGAGGGGTTATGCACTTGAGGGGATGAGAGGTTGGGGATAAGAAAGGAAGGGTGGGAACCCACAAAGATTCTAGAGGACAAACCTAGGAATCTAGGCAGAACTCTAAAGGCATTCACTGGCTTAAAGCCAGGCATGACCCCAGGTTCCTGCTGCCCTGCTGTCCTCAGTTACCAGGCCTGCCTCATCCTGCTTCCCTGACAAGCTCTCTTTAGTACCCAATGCCCCACTGGCTAGGTCCTGGTTTCAAGATGTGGGTGGAACACGCACAGGAAATCAATGTGAGTCAATGCCCTGTATAGCTATCCTTATCTCAACCAGCAAAAACCCTTGTTCCTTCCTATTATTGCTTATACTCTCTCTACAACAAAATTAG